TCTATAAGATACAAGGCTGGTACTTACAGGGGAAGGCAGGCACTAGGATCACTTGAGGATGGTTTAAAATACAGATGCCCAGGCCCAGCTCTAAAGAATCTGAATCTCTAGGGTTAGGCTAAGATATCTGTTACTTAAATAATAAACCCAGGGTCATTCTGATGTACTCCTACTTAAAGAACCACCGCACTAGATCAGCACTGGCTCACATTCAGGATCCAGCTCTACAACCCTAAAATTCATCAAATGGGGCAGTAGAGATTTTATTAAATTACTCCTTACTGATAGAACTAAAATAAATGAATCAGTGCTTCATTTTCTCTTTCCCTAAAACCCCCCATTAGAGAAGAACCTGAAATTAAGATTAAAGCTAACATGTCAATTGGATAAACACTTCAACATAGATTATTTTAACTCCAATTATTTCCTGGGATGTTTAAATAGAACACAAGGGTGTGACAATATCCATAGTTCTAAGTTGCTTCTCTGACAGGGCATCCCAAAATATGTGCTGATATTAAAGTGACAACAGCAGGTCATTGCTTCACTGACTCAGATTACAAAGCTATCCCCAAGACAAACAACATGACCTCCTGCCCAGCAGAAAGGACCTGTAACACAGGATACTATACCTGCAGAGCGTGTGTCCTCCCTGGCTGCAGCTAACCGGGTTTGTGGCCCATGCTTCATTCAAGGGCACTTCCTCCTCTGATTCCTGGACAGTGGGGGTACTGATGTGTATGTACGCCCCTATCTCTGCAGTCGTTTAGATTCAGTGACTCTGTTGATGCCCAACACCCCCAAAATAATACTGTCAGCTCCTGACAAAAGGGACACAAAAGTGGGTTTTCAGAGAATCCCATTTTTCTTCATCTTGCTGGCTTTTGTTGGCAGCCCCTCATCCAATTCCACACAGCTTCAGAATGCTTCACTCCAGGTCTGTCACCCAATCAACAGCACAATTTTTACATTTTTTTCCACCAAAGAAATATTTCTTGGTTTGAAGAGGCCTCCTGGCCCCAACAGTGTTCTCTACTGCCCAAGACAAGCTGAAAAAGTGGATTGAAATTCCACGTAACAACAAAGCAAATGGATAGAAGTGCATAGGAAACTTTCAGTAATGCTCACTTCCTGGTAAATTACTACCACTAGGGATGAAATCTATAAGTGTTTAAAAAAGAAAAGCAGGAAGACATCAAGTATCATTCAGTATTATATTTCACGGAAGTTTTTTGACACTAAATTAATAAACAGGCACCGTCCTATGTCCTGCTGAATCACTGTCCTAGAATTCAATACCTACGAAGAGTTATAATCCTCATTCAGCTCTGAGATTCAAAATTCAGTTTCTCTCCCCTTGCCTTTAGTCATTTCAAACCACAATGCCCCGTAACCATTTGTCAACCGCTTGTATTTGGAAAATCCATTGCATTGTTTCTGCAGCACACTCACACTCCCTACTTACTATTTGCATTGTGATCTTGGGCAAGTGACTTAATTACCCTGCTGTACCTTAGTTTCCTCATTTTGAAAAAAGGGAATTCTAACTGTACCTATTACTTCAAAAGATTGTTATGAGATTCATAGAAATTAATAGGCAAAGGCTCCTGGAACAGTACCTGGCACATTTTAAGCACTACATAAATGTTAGCTCTTATTATTACTTTGTTTCATTTAGCTACAAATTCTCATACTGTTTCACATATGTACACAAATGTTTGCCTACTAAAATACTACCTACTTGAAGATTGGAACCACATTTTCAGTACCTCTGACATTTCCCCTATGGTATCTAATATTCACTCAATAAGTAAATAAACCTACTCTGCACATATTGTTATACTGGATAAACAAGGAAACATAGTACCTTATAAATATATATTCTCTGCCCTGAGTAGCCTCTATTTTAGGTGGGGAAACAAAATACGGAAATGCTTATATAACAGTATAAAGCCATAAAAGATTAAATGCCAAAGTATGTGGCATAAACATCTAACATTCAAAGAGCTTATTGTGGGCTGCAGATTCTGTGGAGAAGGTAAAGCTGGAGTGCCCGGCCCCTAAAGTTACGTGGGATCTTCAGCAGTGAAAAGAAAAGAGGATTCCAATGTATTTTTGTTCATTCCACAAACAGCCACTGTGTACCTTCCATATGCCAGGCTCTGTTCCAGGCTCTGGAGATATGGCAATGAGTGACAGAAAAGATCCCTGCACTCTGGAGCTTTAAAGGGCACTCCACGTGAGAGCCAAGTTTTGAAGGAATGAGAAGAGCTTGTCTTCCAAAACGATGAAACGACACTGCTTAAATGCCTTACAAACAGGAGCCAATGCTGGCATTATGGTTGCTCTGACTTTCCAACAACGACAAACATACAGAAATGGCTGACGTGAAAAAATTCAGTAACTTTCATGTACTGTATTCTAAATGTTCCATTGTTCATAAAACACATCAAAGGGATATTCTCCGTATTTCTGGATACAAATAACATACAAGAGATTTTAAACACATAGAGTTAATACTACTAGAATATTTCCATAACAGAGGCCATTGGAGGCCCAGTTCCTAAATTTTGCCCAAATGAAAAGCCTTATATTAATGCTTTGCTGTACCCTTGAGCTTTGTCTCCACCCCCAATCCACCCCCTGCCTTTCTTTACTTGATTTACTAGCAGCTGCCCACAAATATCAAATATCTACTAGGAAAGTGCCTGAAGATGCATGTGGTGACAAGATGACAAGAATCAGTTAGTCACGATGAGTGGAAATATTAACTCCAAAAGAAAATATCTGCATTTTTTTCTTCTTATATCCTTCCACTGAAAGACAGCTCTCCACTTATCCCCTCCCCGAAGAGAAGGCCTGGAGGTAAAGGAGCCCTCTTATAAATACTGACTTGCAAAGCATTCCCAATCTCTTCCTCTCCAACGATGGGCCACTAGAATTAGGAGACAGGTTAAATCCGATATGTTCTCATCACAAATAAGACGCATTTCCAAGCACCTCCCTTGTCCTCTCCAGTCCTTTTCAACTACTTCTACTCTCACAAGATGCAAACTGTTAAACCTCACTATCATTCTCATCATTGTTATGCCTATACAAATCACTACACTGTATTTTTGGAAACACAGTCAAAATAAACTTCTTGATTAAGGAAGTCAAAACTACTCAACTAAATACAATAAAAAATGTTAACTTCTTTATGCACAAAATACTGCACTCCAAACTGCTTATGATACTTAGAGCAAAATGAAAAATTAGGTAGAGACCCTACAATGCAGATAATCTAACATTCTTCATATACCCACGAATGTTAGACTCATGAACAGAGTAATAACCAACCCGCTGTTTTTTATTTCCTTGGTCTGGTATTGGAAAATTACTCTTCCTGTTTCATTGTCATCTGTCAACCCCTAATTAGGAATGCCATTTAGAAAAAATACGGTAGGAGGGAGCCTTTCACAAGGGCCTTATGGTTCCCCAACATTTACCTTCTTCCAATGTCCAAGAATAGCCTGTTCATTGGATGATGATGGTGTGTTATGGGAACTTGGATAAATGAAACACAATGCTTTAGAAACTATTGAATCCCCAAATAAAGAGACTAATTGCAGTTCTATGCAATTTTAAAGCCACCTTCCAACTTGAAAAACATATTAATCTACTCAATGAGTCACTTTATATTGCCAACCCCCTTTTTCACAAAAGCAGAAACAGAAGTAATTAATGCACATACTCCACATTTGGACCTATTCAAATCAAACCCATGTATTCAAAAATTTTTGAGCAACCTATGCTTATGCGAAAGTTACCCCAGAAGATTAAATGAGATAAAGCATGTACCATTTGGCACAGGCCTTGCAAACCGTCAGTACTCAACACTACCCATTATTATTGTTCCTAATTTTCCAACGTCAGAGTCAAACTAAACGGTTATAAGGCATATATTTGATAATGTATATATAATGCGTAAAAACTAACATGCATTAATCCTGCAAATAAAGCTAGTACCTTATTGTACCAAGTAATGCTCTTCAGACAAAGGTGAGCTTAATTGTAACATAAAGAGCCACAAAAAAGGCAAAGAAAACTTGCTAAGGGATTTGGGCTAAATGTTAGCTCTTACCTCTGCTTATTAAGACTACAACCTCTACAAGGTCTAAGATGAATTATACTTAGCAGTCAGCTGACCCTAGAGAGCTAGCTCAACATAAACAGCTAAGACCTCAGGCATGTGGACAAGTGACCATTTACTCGCAAGGCAGCTACCAACTGCTGAAATCTGATTACTTCAATACTGATGCTGAAATCCTGCATAAATTCATTACCTGTCTTATGCTAGAAAATATATTTTTCAAGTCCCTATACACACTTTTTTTTAAGGCACAAAAATCATTTCAACTGACAATATTGCAGCATCCTGGGACGTCCAGTTTTTTAAAACACCTCAACAGTCTCAGCCACGCATCATTCATTATGACAGGGGAAATGGAAAGACAATTTGGAGAGCATACGCTTTCTTAAGTATCAAAGTAAATATTAAAAGTAACTCTATGTCCTCATTACGAAAAAAAATCTTCGTGTTTCCCAGCCTACTCCCGATTCGTGGGACAATGCACATTCCCCCCCCTCCCACGCTTTAAGTCACGCCCGGGCGCGCCGAAGTGGGGCGGGAAGAAGCACGGAACTCCCGGGTAATGACCTGTCCCCGCTACTTCTCGCCCGGTTTTGGCACACCACAGCTACACCCACGTGGACTTCCAGACGGGGGCGGCGAGACCCACGGCCATCACCAGCGCCCCGCGCCCCGGGCCCGCCCAGCCCTCCCGCGGGGGCTCCGGGCTCGGGGCCGGGGGCTCGCGGAGGGCGGGGGGGCGCGGCGGTGACGCGCCGCGGGGGGAGGGGAAGGGAGCCCGGCTCCACTCACGCGCCCGGGGGCGGCACCGGAGCCGTCGCTGCGTCGCTCCCGTTCAAAAACTGAAAAGGGGGGCGGGGGGAAAGACCTGGCTCCTCGTTTCATCCGGAAACCGGCGGGCCGGCAGGAAATGACGAAGGCAGAGGTCGTCCAGGTCCGTTCGGTAACCGGGTCCCGCGCGTCCGGTCCCAGCTCGGGGGGGAAAGAGCCCCGAGCGGAGCAACCTGGCCGCGTGCCGCCTCCGGAGCCAGCAGCGTGAGTGGACCCGCGTCTCCGCGCCTCCCGGGCCCGAGGCGGGGCCGCGTCACCCGGCCCCGCCCCCCCGCCCGCGCGCCGCCCCGCCCCGCCGGGGCCTCGCGGGGGAGGGGAGGGGACCGCTGCCCGCCGCGCGCCCCCAGCCCTGGGCTCTGAGGCTCCTACGCCTCCAGCCAGTGCACCGAGCCTCTCGGGGTCGTAGGGAATAGTAGGGGTCCGAGTGCCAGAGATGCAGACAACACACCCAAGCAGCCGCGTGGCAACGCGAGCAGGGGTGGAGGCGAGACGGCCCCGGGGCCGCTGGAGTTTAGCGCGAGTGTTTTTAAGATTCCGCAGGTGATTCCGCGGCCTGCGAGCGGCGGAAACGCAAAAGATGTCCCGGCAGCTCTGGAGGCTCCCTGTGGTCACTTACTGGGAGGGGATTATATTTTATACCCGCGCGACTGGATTTCTTTCCGGGAGGAGCGGGTGTCACAGAACCGGGGGCACGACTGGGAAGGGTTCAGGTTTGGGAGTCAGTTACATGTGACAACCCTAGCCTGTGCAACTTTGGGCAAGTTACATAACCACTACTACCACCTTCCCGGTTTCTTCTATAAAATGGAATTCAGTGCCTCCCAGCAGGGTGGTTACAAAAATTCAGTATGTGGACTGCCCTACTCATAAACCCACAGACTGCCTTCTTCCTCATGGTTGAAGGCCTGTTACCTTGTACCCTTCTGCTTTAGGAACCCGAACCTTCAGTGTTTCAGAGGACAGAGCAAGAAAATTACATTTATGCAGTGGATTGTGTTGTAAGGAACTGTATAAGTGATTCTAATCTGGATTTGTATTAAGATAGCAAAGGTCTGAGACAAAAATGATAATATTTAAGGCATAATGACAAGTGATACTCAATTTTAGAACCACCTAGACATGGTATCAGGAACCTAAAATCAGGACTGATTTTAAAACTTAAGATATAGTCACTTGATCCCTGGAAAATTTTCTCCTAGTTCTCAACCTAAAAGTTTATCAAATTAAACCAAGCCCTAGTTGCCATATTTTGGGAATTCTGTCTCTGGATACTAATGTTTTAGTTGGGTCTTAATTCAGCTCCTTACTGAAATGGTTCAAGCATTAGTGTCCAGGAAAAAATATGTGAAAAATATTCAGTTTTCTCAAAAGAACCCTGAATGACGATCCAAGCACATGGCTAGCTACATTAGTGATCTTGCTGAAGCATTAACTTGCCAGGAATGAACCATTGTAATGCCCCTGGACATTTTGCTTTAGAAGGTTGTGGTGGTATGAAGTAACTGCTTAGCAAGTGTGTATGTGACACTTGGTTAGACTGTAGCGTGCTAGGAGGTGACAGTCAGAGGTCAGGCCACATGTGGGCCATGGGTCTGTACTATGACTCCGGGCAAGGCCATTCCTTATTCCTGGCAGTCTTGCAAAGTCATGCCATTGGTCATGATGGAGGACTGGGCAGGAAAGGCCTACCCTTGGTACAAATCTTTCACAACTACGGTACTAAAAATAATTCGAGTGCGTGTCCCTGGAACTGTGGGATGGTAGTGTCATTGCATACCAATGATGTTGTATAATACATGTTGTTTAATTCATGTTAAAATTTTACTGTTCTGGGTCACTGGTAATTCAAAATCCTTCTCTAAATACAATTCAAGACGGGCATATTTGTAGCAGGATGAAGACAAGCCCTGTAGGAATATACCACTTTTTTTAAGTGGCCCATGAACAGAATTTTGTGAGAAAATGAAGCAAGAAATTAACCTGGCTCAGATCCATTCAGGTGTTAGAAAACAAGTAGGAAACACTTCTGTGATTTGTCGGGTAAAGGACACCTGCAAAATGTTCTAATGGCCATTGCTGTATGTTCCCTGTTTCTTCCTGAATTTAATAGCTCCCAGTCTTGAAACCTACCACCTTTGTGACATAATCGTCTGCGGCCTTCTGCAGCATCTCAAATCAGACGTCCGAAGTCATCTCTTTTTGCCAAAAACACATTTGTTGTTGTTACTTTTCAGCATGAGTAAAATTCTAGATTTCATAAATCATGAAGACAATTACAGTCTCTTCCAAAAGTTTCCATTTCTAAAATAGGCTGATTACTTACTATGAATCATAATGTTACTTTCAGAGAAACTCTGGAGTTCAGTTTTAAGAAATAAGAATTAAAACTGTGAATATACCAAATCTCCCTGTGTCTCCCACTCTCTTAAAAAAAAAAGAAAATCCATAGCCAGTCTTTAATATCAAGGAATTGGGTATGGTGTGATATTTAAATAATACTTAGATCTTGCATGTATAAATTTTTATGATTTAAATTCTGTTTTTATTATTACTTGGCTAATTTTTTATAAGACCAATCTTTATATTCATCAGATACCAATAGGTCTTTTGAAGAGATCACTCTTGACCTCAGTGTCTAGAGTTTAAGTTAAATGATCATTCATGATACTCACTTTATCATAAATCAATACAATATGTCCCCAAACATCTGACAAAAACTTCAGATGTCAGAACAGGGAAAACATGCCACCTGGCTTAGGAGCAAACTTATGGGAGAATTTTATTCATTTTATGCAGAGGTAAGCTATAAGAAAGCAAACAGACACTGCCCTTAATGTACACTTGTTAACTTACTAAGCTAGCTCTACATTACAGAACATTTTGGAGACTTACAGGAGATTGGAAGATATCTTAGTGCAAGAATGTCTGCAATGCCTTCATTCTTGTAGGATGTCTAGAGAAAAGTTGCAAAACAATTTCTTGGACATTTCAGATACTCTTTTTCTTGGAATTAGAAAATGACTGTCTTATTCCTAGAAGCTACAGTACATTGATCACCTATCACTTGTTCAGTTTTTCTCCTCCTTCTTATAGAATGTCTAAAAAAAATGCTTTTGGTTTTCTTTCACATAGGCCATTTTACTTATCAGACTTACCTGGTATATCCAAACAGGAGGGAGGACTTTCTCTTCAAGGAAAAATTCAACTAACTCCAAACACAAAGAGGAAACAATTACTCTTTCACTTGCTATTTGATACACTTGCTCTTACCACTCTTATTTTCTGTGGGAATGTCCAAAGAATGCATTTCCTTGAATAGAAGTCACAGCTGTGTAAATAGCAAAAAGTAACTTTTTATCCCATAGCTTCTTTCAAGCACATTTGGCCTGGAGGCCAAAACTAGATAAAGCTCTGAACATTTTCCACTTGCCCGGGAGGCCAGTGGAAGAGCATTACAATGGCTGTCTCATCTTTTCTAGGCTACGGTCATGAGCACAACACGATTTTTTGATATCACAGCCTGTTGTTTGGGTCTGTGTTTTCAAATATTTGGGTGCTTTCATCTGGGTGATAGCCACAGTTTCAGAAACTGGGCAATAACATTTCAACCATATATCTTTTCTGTTATCTTTTTGTAATAGAATTTTTAAACTCCAGTTTTCACCTTCATGCAGAAGATAAAATGTTTCCACATCAAAAATAAGGGGAAATATGTTACACACCCTAGTCATCTAGGCCAGGAGTTGGCAAACTTTTTCTTAAAGGGCCAGATTGCAAATATTTTCGGCTTCAAGGGCTGGGAAGCAAAAAGCAAGGATATTGTACAGGTACCTACAGTCATTTAAAATGTATCCGATTAGAAATGTAAAACCATTCCTAGCCCCTGGGCCATCCAAAAACAGGCAGCAGGCTGGAGTTGGCCAGTAGGCCATATGCTTGCCAGCCCTTCCACAGAGACGGTCGTACCACCACTAACTAAGAGAAACCCTGCTCTCTTCTCTTTCTTCCAGCCCCATGCCTGCAGGTTACGGGGTGATGGCTGACGATGGCTCTATGGATTATAGTGTTCATGAGGCCTGGAATGAAGCCACCAATGTTTACCTGGTAGTGATCCTTGTTAGCTTTGTTCTCTTCATGTATGCCAAGAGGTAAAGTTTTTAGTATTTCAAAAGTTGATACGTTTGTTTGTTTGTTTGTTTGTTCCGAATTAAATGCACACAAATAATTTCATAAGCATTTTTGTTCCTGCTAGGAAAGCACTGTGTCCTCAGGTCTGTTCTCGAGCCCTGGACGCCAGTTTGGCTTTGAAGAGCCCATTGCTTTAAGAGCTGGAGATTTAAGTGCAGCTCTGGGCACCCTGACCGGCTTTGCCTTCCCATTCTATCATTTCTAATACAGCTCAGTTTGGTCATCCAGCCTGGGTTCACTGTCACTCTTGGATGAGCGTATTTCTTTGGCCTGTGTCCCTGAAATGCAGAAACCCTAATCCCTATGTTTTTAGCAATTCTCTCTTCACACATTTTAAGTTTTCCCTCCTGATTCTTAGACACAGCCGTATCATAGCACTTACTGAATAATAATGGTATTATCTGACGACTTGTCTGTTCCACAAAAACTCTAGTCCCTTCAGAACAAGGACTTTGACCCTTAACCTTTGTGTCCCTGGTGTGCCATATAGTGTAAATCCTCAATAAATATTTCCTGCTTTAATTCCAGATGTTGTAGCATATTTTATTATTTTCCATACTCCCTGGCTCCTTTCTTTTAAATATATATATAGAGAGAGGTGGGTGCTCTGAGGAGGAAAAGCGGTATTAGTTGGACCAAGTCGCTTCTCCTTATAGCCACATGCTTCTTGGTATTCTCTACCAAGGTTAGAAAAGCATTACATAGATCAGAGTAATTAGTAATTGAGAAAGAATTGATGTTTGCCCGGGGAGCACCTGCTCTCAGACAGGCAGGTTTGCCCTTCTAGGCTGCGTGAGCCCCAGAGCAGCTGACCCATTGGCAGCCTGGCCTTGGGAGTGGCTGAGAGAAGGCTCCACAGGTAACAGCTTTCCTCCAGAAACAGCCACCACCTCCTCCCCACCATCCTGTTTTAAAAACAGAGACACTGAGGGCGCCTGGGTGGCTCAGTCGTTAAGTGTCTGCCTTCGGCTCAGGTCATGGTCCCAGGGTCCTGGGATCGAGCCCCTCGTCGGGCTCCGTGCTCGGCGGGAAACCTGCTTCTCCCTCTCCCACTCCCTCTGCTTGTGTTCTCTCTCTCGCTGTGTCTCTCTCTGTCAAATAAATAAATAAAATCTTAAAAAAAAAAAAAAACAGAGACACTGTTGTTGATTTTAAGTAGATGGACCCACTAAGGCCATGCTATTGTATTTAAGAAATGTGATTCATTATTTTCCAAAATGAAGATCTACTCGCAGTCTGTTTATTCTCTCACCCAGTAATTTAGCTTTATTTGGATGGCACCAGAGGGAGGAGAAAAAGAGGATGTTTTCTAGTTGGTGCGTTTTGCCGTATAGTACTTTGGAGGGGGCAGGAGTGGAAGCACAGCGGTTTTTGGAGGGGGACAGCAGAGGAAGCACAGCGGAGGTACGTCACTTTGTTGTATGAAGTGGTTTCTTCACTTTCTTCAAGCCCTGTGGCCGTACACAGACAGCTTCATACTTTTTAGTGAAGGGAAGAACACTTGAGCCAAGGAAGCATCCAAAAGAGACAAAAGAGAAGATGAGTTCATTGTTACTTAAGTCCTTTTAACGTAGCTTCTGATTACTATGGTCCTGAGTCTAGTACGGTCTTGTAGCTATTAATATAAATCTCCCTTACATATTGGTTTTATGTTTTAGGAATAAAAGGAAAATTATGAGGATATTCAGTGTGCCACCTACAACAGAAACTTTATCAGAGCCCAGCTTTTATGACACAATAAGCAAAATCCGCTTAAGACAGCCACTGGAAATGTATTCCATTTGTAAGTATATTCTGTGTTGAATGGAGGCATGTTTAAAATAGATTTTTTGGAATTGAGTTCGATTAGCAAAAGATTATCAGAAATAATTGGTAATGAAAACGTAGTGCCTTTTTTAGGTGCTCAGCACAGTATTAGCAAAGGCAGATCTGCCGTGAAGTTGAAGCTTCAGGACCCTTTGCTTGTATGGGGCCCTTCCAGAACCCTGAGAACAGCCCTAGAAATGTGCTCATATGATGATATTTTTATAAATTCTGCAAAATTTCAATATTTTAACCGTTGGTTAAGATTGCTATCTCTTCCTGCTCTAATTTGCCCTCTTCTGCACTTCCCTTCATATGGAGTAGCATTGAAGTGACCAAGAGCATTTGGGGATCTGGCTGAGGTTGAGTTGGAGCTGCATTTAGTTTGGGTTTGAATTTTGTATTTATGGAGTTTGCACTCATTTCTATCATAACTAAATTACTGCAAACCAAAGCAAAATAAGAATGACTTCCAGGGGCACCTGGGTGGCTCAGACTGTTAAGCATCCAACTCTTGATCTCAGCTCAGGTCTTCATCTCAGGATCGTGAGTTTAAGCCTTGCCTTGAGCTCCATGCTAGGCATGAAGCCTACTTAAAAAAACAAACAAACAAACAAACAAAAAACCCAACAGCTTCCAGGAATATGGCATGCGATATCAATGTGCAAGGCCAGAGTTCATGTCTCATTATTAGTATGTCATATAGTACTGAACACTATATGAGTATGTATGTCAGGTAGAAGAAATAAAGTTTAAAATGTATGGAGCCAGAATGAATTGTACATCTAAGCCACAGCCTTTTATGCCACCATTTAAAAGAATGAATTGTGGTTGGGCACCTAGGTGGCTCAGTCGGATAAGTATCTGCCTTCAGCTCAGGTCATTCTCAGGGTCCTGGGACCGAGTCCCACATCGGGCTCCCTGCTCAATGGGGAGTCTGCTTTTCCCTCTTCCTCTGCCCCTTCCCCCTGCTCATGCATGCTCTCTCTCTCTCTCAAATAAATAAATAAAAATCTTTTTAAAAAATTAAAAATTAAAAAAAAAAGAATGAGTTGTGGTTTCCAAGGTGTATTATTAAGAGAGAAGAGCAAGATAAAATGTATATATACCAGGATGCTACTCTATTAAAATCAAATGACCAAAATATCCCTTGTGTTATCTATGTGTAATATAAATTTTCCATATAATTATGCAAGCATGGAGGAACGCTTGGAAAGATACGCATCAGATTATTAACATTCATTACCTTGATGGGATTGTGTGGGATTTAAGGGGAAAAGACTGGACATTTTTTAAAGATGTCTACAGTAAAAACTCAGGTGTGTGTGTGCATAGAAAGAAGCAAGAGGGGGATGGGGGGGCGCCTGGGTGGCTCAGTTGGTTAAGCGACTGCCTTCGGCTCAGGTCATGATCCTGGAGTCCCGGGAT